TAGTAGTAGTAGTAGTAGTAGTAGTAGTAGTAGTAGTAGTAGTAGTAGTAGTAGTAGTAGTAGTAGTAGTAGTAGTAGTAGTAGTAGTAGTAGTAGTAGTAGTAGTAGTAGTAGTAGTAGTAGTAGTAGTAGTAGTAGTAGTAGTAGTAGTAGTAGTAGTAGTAGTAGTAGTAGTAGTAATAATAATAATAATAATAAAGAAAGAGAAGAAGAAGAAGATGATGAGAACTTTGAGATGGAATATTAATGTAACGATTAAACAATGATAATAACAAATGTCAAGGTTAGAGGTTCCACTAATGGTATATCAAACAAGTATAGTATAAACTCTTATTATTGAATTGGAAACCACACACAAAGGAGGTTCCAATCAGATTATATATTGTTAACATGATTACATTAGTCATCTTATTCAATTAATGCTAATACTTGTAAATCTCGTCAAGCATTCATGATTATAACTTATGTTAACAACAAATCAAGTTCCTTTCATAGCTCAGGTGTCGGTTATACCATACATTATGGGCTATGAAAGTGCCAAGCATTTGTTGTACCAAGTGTTATATAACATAAATCAAGATTAGTCATTTAACAAGCAAAGTATTAAAGAGTGAACAAGATAGCAAATATAAAACATGTTAGTATCAAACATTAAAGTCCATATTAAGTTTACATTATACTTATTCTTACACCATTAGTGTAACCTTTTCACCTTGACATAATTAACTTAGCTAGACATAATGAAAGAAAGCAAAATAGATAAACAAAATAAGAACATAAAAGTTAACTAAGTAAAGGAAAGGAAATGAAAGGCATAAACTTAATATTAATGAAAACAAAGCATAAAAAATACAAAGAGAGAAAGGAAGAGCATGATCTTGATCTGGAAATCAAGATGCCTAAATGCATGGCAAATGCCTCCTTTTATAGGCCAAAAATGGGAACTATTGATTTGATGACTAATTGATAAGTGGGTGACCAACTTTTGACTTGGTGACAATCCTTATCTTCTCTTGTCTGCCCAAAACGTCATTGATAACGTCAAAACTGGAGCCAGTTGCAAACATGAAAGTTGTAGGCAATTGTCTCAGCTTTCTTGTGTAAAAATTTCAGCTCATTTGGACTTCTAGAACTCCAGATATGGCCAAAATACCGAATAGTGCTCGGGCTGGAAGACAGATTCGGGCTTCTTTGTTGTTGCTACAATTTGGACTTGATAATGGCCTTTTTAGATCTTGGGCTCCATATGAAAGTTGTAGGCCTATGTCTTACCTTTCCATCCATATAAATTGGACCTAAATCTGAGATATATAGCTCCAGATATGACCCATTTACCGAACAGTGTTCCGGTTTGGATTGCACCGACATCTCTTTTCTAAGTTTGGCCATCTCTTTATCCTTGCAATTTAAGTTCTTCAAGTCATCAATCAATCCTTTCATTTATGTGATAGGCCTGCATTAAAAATAGACATTTACCACAAATTATAGGTATCTTATATTATTAGATACATTATTATAAAACATATTTTAGTTAAGGAGTTATTGATACTTCAAGTGCAAAATGATGATATAAAACCATGATAAAAATGCACTTTTAAGTACTAATCACACCCCCCAACCAGCTTATTACTAGTCCCTAGTAATCAAAGCGTTAAAATAGAAAACAAATTTGCAAATTTCACAAAGCAAGGTATTCATCATTTAACTTCCATTAATCTATCCAGATAAACAAACTCTTATTAAATTTATATATCTGCTCAATACCTCTTAACAAGATATTAATAAACCTTTCTTTTGTGCTCAATGTATCAACACATGATTATGGGGCTTTTCTTGAAAGAAAACAAAATTTCTGTTCTAATGCTTAAGGTTTACTTCCTTGGGTTGGGATTACTATTTTTATCTTTTTTTTTGTCTCTTTTTTTTTTTTAACTCTATATACATATACTTTAAAAACATCATGCATCTTTAACCCATGTAACGAGCTTTCAGCTAATGACTCCCAGACCAGTTGGTCTTAGGGCAATAGGTGTTAAGACACCCCTACGAGCTTAGTAACTCGGGTCGTAGATACTGATATGTAGATAGTGCAATGTTTGATTCCCTTAAGCTTTTCTCCTCAACCCATGTAACAAGCGTTAGGCCAATAGCTCCCAAGTCAGTTGACTTTAGGGCATTAGGTGTTAAAACACCCCTTCGGGCTTAATTGCTTAGGTTAGGGAGGCTACGAAACCAAACTTATCTACATTTTTATTATCATCATTTTTTTTTCTTTTTTTTTCTTTTTTTTTCTTTTTTTTAATTATATACAATCCCTTTCCCTTAGTTGTTACCTTTAACAAAAGAACATAAATAATGTAATAATCCAATATGCAACCCAAAATCATATGTTAAAGTGTGTGTGTGTAAATTAAGATTTAAGAATACATGTTAAATAAGTATATGAGCAGAATTAAGTGGTAACAATACGAGAGTTTGTAAACCTGAATATTTCAGGAAGTATTATAATAGACCTTGTTAAGAATGATTACTAAGATGCGTCTGAAGAGTCACTTTAACAAAAGAACTCCTTTACTCTACCATCCTAGTAACAACAATTATGCACATGCTTTATGAAATGAAAAACAATTTTTTTTTTATCAACTACTACCCTCTCCCCCCAACCAAAACGAGACATTGTCCTCAATGTTCTAAGGTAGAAAGATAGAGTATAGAAGATATCACCTGAAATAACGAACACTGACAAAACCTGAAACACACTGAAACAAAAATAAGAAATAACAAAACACAATAATAAAACCAAAAGACACAAAAATTCACAAATGAAGGCTCAAATCCAATCTAAGCTTTTTATGGCTTCCCGTAGATGACCAATTTATGCGACTCATGGAAGGATCAATCACAGGAATGAAAGATTGTAGTTGGTCAATCAATTGTTCAGCAGTAGTAGCAGAGATTATGATTTGTCGTGTAGAAGATGTTAGAAATTCCTGTTCCACAGCATGATCAAGAAAAGACAACAACTTATCATAATAACCATTAACATTTAACAAACCTATGGGTTTATGGTGAATGTGCAATTGAGCCCAAGAGGAAATATGAAAGATCTCTTCCAATGTGCCTAGACCACCTGATAATCGGACCTTTGCTTCAATCAACCAGCGAATATCTTCAGGAATTCCATGATTCATTAACAATCTCAATCTTGCACATCTAGCACGGTAAATTTTTGTAATCGCATTCTGAGGTAGAGCGGGAAAATACTTTTTCAATTTTTCAAGATTAGTGTCCATTTTCAAATGAGAATTGGAAGAGAGCTTCAAAGAATTGCACAC